CACTGACAACCACCTTCAGAAGCTATACAGCATTGAAGTCCGCAACAGGTTCCAGCCCCTAGAGAAGGAGGAAGAATCAGCTACCGAGAGGTATGAGCGATTCATAACAGCACATAAGGAGGCTACTGAGAAAGTTATCCCAGTGAAAAAGAAGACAAGAAAGTTGCATTTTCCCAACGATACACGTGTAATCAGTGCTAGAAATAAGATCAATAAAGCCTACATGGAGTACCAGAAAGATACAAGTGATGAAAATCGGCAGATCTACAAGCAAGCCAAGCACAACCTTGAGGAAGCATACAGTGTAGTTATAGAAGAAGATCTTGATAGTAAACTAAAAGATGTGGAGAGAGCGCATGCCAACAGTAAACATGGGCAGAGCTGGAGACTCATAAATGACATAACCGGAAGGAAAGCATCCCCGAAAGGGCAGTTAAAAGGAGACACACAGAAAGACAGGGTCATAAACTGGTTCAACCAATTCAAGAATCTTCTTGGAAGCCCTCCAGATATAGATGATGAGGATGAAGAAATTCTGCCTATACTAGAGAGTCTGAACATCAAGACAGGGCCATTTGATCTTAAAGAATATTCAAAGGCAATAAAGTCACTAGTAGAAGGGAAGAGCTTTGGGGAAGATGGCATACCACCAGAGGTTCTAAAAAGATGTGACCTGGATGAAATCATTCTGAGTTTCTGCAACAACGCTCTGATCAATGAAGAAAAGCCCCACCAATGGTCCATACTGAATATTGTACCAATACCAAAGTCTGGAGACCTGAGCCAAGGAGGAAACTATCGAGGAATCAGTCTAAGCTCCATCGTGGCCAAAACTTTCAATAGATTGATTTTGAACAGGATCAGACCTGTACTTGATAGTCACCTGAGAACCAACCAAAATGGATTCAGAGTTGGAAGGACCACAGTGGGACATATTTTGGCACTTCGCAGGCTTATAGAAGGAGTAAAAGAAAATCAGCTCCCGGCTATTATCACATTTATTGACTTTCGCAAAGCCTTCGATACCATCCACAGAGGCAAGATGTTGAAGATCCTTACTGCATATGGCATACCGGAACAACTGGTGAATGCTATTGGCAAGATGTATGAAGACACCAAAGCAAAAGTAATATCACCTGATGGAGAGACTGACCTCTTTGAAATCATGGCTGGTGTGCTTCAAGGTGACACGCTTGCACCTTACCTATTTGTAATAGTCCTCGATTATGCCTTGCGAGCAGCTATAGACGGCCATGAAGAAGAACTTGGATTCCAACTAGAAAGAAGGAGAAGTAGGAGAGTTGGTCCGGAAATCATAACAGACCTAGATTTCGCCGATGACATAGCCCTGCTATCTGAGGAATTAGAGCAAGCCCAAAAACTCCTGAGCAGGGTGGAGACATCGGTAGGCAAGGTCGGGCTCCGGATGAATTCAGGCAAAACCAAGTTCATGTCATTCAATCACAGGGGGATCATCACTATAAAAACAAACGATGAAACTCAGTTGGAGAATGTACCTGATTTCAAGTACCTGGGAGCACTGATGGTGAGCACAGAAAAAGATGTGAAAGCTCGTAAGTCAGCAGCATGGAGAGCGTGTAGCAAGCTTGGAAGAATCTGGAAATCTTCTCTTCCTAGGCAGTTCAAACAACGTTTGTTTGTTGCTACAGTTGAATCTGTGCTTCTATACGGCTGCGAAGCATGGGCAGTTACAACAAAGCTGGCAAAAGAATTAGATGGTTGCTACACCAGACTTCTTAGGACAGCATTTAACGTGCACTGGAGCCAGCATATAACCAATAAGGAGCTGTACGGGAATCTACCAAAAGTATCAGAAAAGATCAGGGAAAGAAGACTACGTTTTGCAGGCCACAGCTGTAGGAACATCAATGAACCAATATCTCAGCTTTTACTCTGGAAGCCTAAACACGGGAAGAAGAAACCTGGAAGACCTCATCTTACTTATACAGACCTACTCAAGAAGGATACGGGACTTGAACTGTCAGAGATAAAAGCAGCCATGCTGGACAGGAATGTGTGGATGGCCATCACAGCTCGGGCAGTTGACCCGACTTAAGCAAGTAAGCAAGCATGTATCATTGGAAAGATATACCAAAGGCTTGAAGATGACTAACTGTTTCCAGTGGAACATTAATCTATGTCGGTGTTAAAAGGCTTGTGTAATGAAGACCGGAATATGTTACACAAAGTAATCCACCCTAGCCTTCAGTTGGTGCTTAATTGTTTTGTGCAAAACTGCACTTGCGGCAAACGCATAATCGTGTAGAGAAGAGAAGAAAACAATCGTATTGATGGGGAAAAGTGTTGCATTTTTTTTAATTAAAAAAAAAAAAAAATATATATATATATATATATATATTTTTTTTTTTTTTTTTTTTTTTGGGGGGGGGGGGGGAGGGGGCATGGATTCTTGTACCTGTGAGTCGGGTTTCTTTGAAGAGAGGTGCCGTCTGACTTGAGTTGTGATCCAGTATATTAATATGATGAGAATGATAGCTGCCAGTCCATACGTAGATCCCATGAGCACGGACTTCAAGATGGTAGATTTCATGCTGGCTTCACACTCTTTATGATTTCAAAGATATAAAAAACCAGAAAATATAGATATATATTGATCCGTTCTATTATTCATTAATTGTTTTTCTAAAGGACTTTCATAATTTCTGTCAAGTACACGTCCAGACCAACTAAACTCTAAACTGACATATTATTGGCCATGTTGTGTAATGTATGTTTTAATTCGGTCTGTTAATGGTCTGGTTTCGGTTATGTCGGTTTGAATGGGATACTAAGGTGTCGCATGTCTGGATTATTGATCAATGTTATATAGATATTATGGACACATGAATCAATATATTGTCCCTTCTCTTGCTAAAAATTAATCATTTTGATAGAGCAGATATGATAGGCCTACAACAAAAGTCTTTTGTCAATTTCACAATAAGTCTTAATTAAAAAAAATTAAAATTCAGGTTGAGTATTAACTATCGGAAATGAATATCGAAGTTTTCCCCAACGCCCACTTTCTGAAATTAATTACCACAATGCGAGGAAAAAATAAGTTTTTTCTTCATGCAATTATATTTCGGTTTCATAGTTTAAGAAGATGATGTCAAGATATAAATTGCACTAACCTTGAAATGTTGAATGATTGGCTTCATTAAAGGAGAAATTTATGTCTACAAGTAGTGTATGAAAGAATGCATAACAAAAAAAATATTACAGTTTTAACCCCAATCGCTCCTTTCCAGTACGATATATTGAAGAAAATTATCAAGTAGCATTATCATATAATACTTAATTTGATATTTCAATATAAAATTCCCATACCCTACATTAAAATAACCTTTTCTGCAAAAAACCGCATGCGCTCATAATAATAAGATAGAAATGAGGCAGAGTTTAAAGCAGTTCATCATAAGTATTGAAGACGGTATGCATAATGAACAAGTTTTAATAATACAGGGCACGTACATTACCGTCTTATTGTATAATATTTAGTTGAAGAAGAATAAAATGTAGATTTAAATATATATCCGAATGTATTTTGATATTGCTTTAGGGGTATAGCTTTGAAACTAGAAACATACATAAATAGTATATTTCGCGTCCTTGGTGGTTTACAATCACTCAAATTTTGAAAAGGATATATAGAGTAACTGGGAAATACATTTCACTTCGAAGTTTCACAATCGAGTCTTGATTATGAGAAAGATAAGGTTCCGAAGTTGCGCAACTTAAGTGCAATTTATAAGGGGCAACCTTGTCTGTCTATTTAATGATACATAATCAAAACTTTCATTATCGTTTGATGAGCTTTGAAAAGTGAATGAGTAACACAGATGGCAAACTCTTTTACTGTTTCTCCAGTATATTTTGTTTAAACTATGCTTTAGGAATTCAGAACGTATTTTTATGTATCTATTTACGTATTAAGTTATTCATTACTTCAGGTTTATTTCTCATTTTTTATTCCTCTTTCTTTGGGGATATAGGGAACAGTAAATGAGAGAACATTGAAATATATCAATTAAATATCAATTACATTCCACTCAATCAGCGTCGAACCTTTTTCCCCACATTATCCTGAGCTTCAATGTTTTGGGTGTCCATGATAACGAAATGTAAGCATGATAAATATAAAATAATTTTACCTGATAGTGCCGTTGTATATAGGCCTTGTGTTGTCACTGAATGGCAAAGAAAGATTTTTTAAAAGAGTGATCTTTTTGCGCCCAAATTTGAAAAAGTCGTCATATCAAATTATTGAGATAAAGTATAATTATAATAATATCTTACTAATGCCTTCACTGTTGAGTATTATTTTGCATACCTTTTGGGTCTTCCATTTTTTTTTTTTTTCTCCCGATTCTCATTCTTTTTCTTTCTTATTTTGATCCCTTTTCTTTGACGTTTTTTTTTTAAGGGGGGACTTTCTAGCGCTGACTGGAGCACGTGCCCCTCATACATGATTCCTCTCTACGTAGACTCGTACTTTTCTTTTCGGGGATTCCTGAACTAATATCAAACATACTGTATCCATCATCACACGTGAAAAGAACAACCGAACACAATGTGATCCATTTATGTTGGATCATGTGAATGACGTAGCCGATATCATGTCAATCTCAGTCCCATTGAATTAATCAAAGGAATAATCAACTAGGAATTTTAGAATTTATTAAAAAATCTGGTTGAGAAAATCACACCAAAATTGGGCAAGTGATATAAAAGTTTTAATTTCTTGAAAGTTGAGGTCATTAATACTGATGTATAATATGTGGATTTCCTATTGACACATAGGTATACGTGCAAATGTATAGTAAAAACAGTGCGTCCAAGAAAAATGAAACCCTAACAGAAATGGATATTGTGAGCATACTATGATGACAATTGAAAATGGCATGTCAATATCCATTTGCGCCTGATTTAAGTGAAACAGTGAACATGGTCATGATGATCGAAAACGTTTAATAGTATTACACGCGGTCATGACCGAACATGACTGGAAGGAAACCAAAACATAAAAACCGATTTAGAAGATTGTTTTCATGTGCTTCTTTCTATAATGAGGATAAGATTATTGCCATCATCATAAAATAAAGGAGAGTGGATATTTTGTCGATGGCGAAAGTAAAAACGTCATATGTCGAGATTCAAATTTATTTTCAAATTTCTCATATCACATACACATATATAATAAAATATAAACAAAACAAAGCAGTGCATTACCCAAATCGGTCCAATAATAATGATGCAATTTTCAAATGATGTACATACTTCTTTAATGAACATACTAAACATTGCATCATTATAAAAGAATTGTAAACAATAATCGTTCTTCATCACATCACTATGATTTGAGAAAAAGTGAAGGAACTATATAAAAAAGCTGAGCTTTTAAAGCTATATGTCCCCTGTTTAGGAGAAAGTCAAACTTGTGATTAAAAGTGAAAGAAAAAAAAATGAAAAAAGTGGGAAAATAATAAGCTTGGTGCTAGGGCAGAGAGGGTAAAGTGAAGGGAGTAGAGTAGACAAGAACGTAGGGAGTAGGAGAAAAAGAGAAAAAGTGAAAGAACAGAAAGAAGGAGACGGGATAGACAGCTTGATAGAGGGGAACTCGGAGAGAATAGGATTTACAAGGAAGAAGAAGGGAGAACAAAATGGAAAAAAAAACAGGAGGGGGGGGGGGACAGAAAGTACATTTTAACAAAAGGATAGTACGCAGCCTATTGAAATTTGAAGTTTACAAATTTGACATTAACATTTACTAACTTGATATATTGTACTAAATTGATCTGCAATTCGTATGAATAGTGAGCTAAGCATTTTTTTGAGCAACTTTTCCAAAGAGCAGATATTTTGGCCGTTGACTTCTGGTATGACAGTTAAGTCAACTTGCTTGAGAATTTGCATTTTGTTTTCCCATTCAATTTTTTCCCTATATAGGTTTTAGCTACTTACTTTTAATCATTTCACATGTTGGAATCGTACCGTTCCAGACATGAATGTATGAAGACACCCCTGTTACACACTGCAGTGTTCCATTTCCATTCAGACTGTATCCATCATTACACGTGAGATGAACAATGGAGCCAAACCACGTGATGCTTGAATCCCAAGATCCATTCATGACGTCATCCGTCTGATTACAGAAGCCAAAAGAAGCTAAAAAGAAGTAGTAAAATGAAGAATATTTCAGACATGATGTAAATGTGTACCTCATGCCGTCGTGCCAGGTATTTTTTATTATCTTAATCTTATTTTTCTTGCACAATAATTCTAATCCCATTTATACATTCAATACGAAGGTCCCTGGTCCGGTACTTTGGACCTAAGAGTTTGGTCCCATTCTTTTGAAATCTCCAGCGTTGGGATTCAATATCTTAGGTTAAGAAGAGTGGTAAAACAATACAAATAGACAAGGGATAATTGCCATAAAGAAGGGAGAGCAGTCGATTTAAAACTAATTGAAGGCTGATTATCACGTGAACAATGTATATATTTTCTCGTAAAATGTTTTATTAACAATCGACCTAAGATTGTACAGGTGGGTTGTGAAACTAAATTCTCTGGCGCGAATTCACAAAGGAGGTTTGTCGACAAACCTTGGTTTTCGTGCGTCATATGACGCGTTTCGACGCGTTTTTACAAACCAGGTTTGTAAAAAAAAACGCGTCATATGACGTACATAAACCTCGGTTTGTCGACAAACTTCCTTTGTGAATTCGGGCCCCAGTGTATGACCAAGCCTACTTTGTTTACCATTATAAACTAATTGATGTAGAGCACATGACTGGTCTTTTATGGGGTAGAGAAGTACGATGTCATCGGTTGTGGAGCAAAAGCATTCACTTCCATTGATAATGGCTATAGCCTGGGATGTGTCCGCTCTGCACGTTGTGATACACTCGGAGGTTGACTCGAATGAGAATCCGTTCTGGAGTCGAGTGTTTCCTAAGTTAGAACAACCTTTAAATCCAGGCTCTGTCGATGAATATAGATTTATAGAAGACAAGTCACTTCAAAGAACAAAACTGCCACTTTTCAATATTCTACTCTTAGCTCTAACAAGTATTCTACAATACAAATACGTACAAGCACATTTGTTTCTCTGCACATTCAACGACATATTAAGATACGTGTAGTTTGAATTATGTATGACAAGGGAAGTTGGGTCATAACCTATCCCGGTGATTCTTAATTTTGGCAGATTCCGATTCCGATAATTTTTTTCGAATTGAAAAACATTAATGTATATCGATCGGATTATTATTCTTTTTTTAAAATAAATTTCTCAGGTTTTCTTACATTAAGATATTTTTGTTTTGCTTCACAGTCCTATTTAAGGTCATACATAATGAGCAGTATACATTTTCACCAGTATATATTCCTGGCTAATTTCTATGGGTAATGACCATAGTATATGACATTCTGACCTTCAGTACATTTTTAAAACAGATGTAAGAGACATTTATAAACACAAACAAACTTGTTCTTTCCTAATAGTCTTTGACAAGTTGTTCCAGGCCAACCCCAATTGACTATTGAAACAGCTCCCCCTCTCCTACAAAATGTCCCACGTATATGTTCTAAGAGTCTAATGCCCCTCTGACACTTGGACGATTTTGGTTCGCGCATGGTTTGCGCATTGCTTCGTGCCACGATCTTGCCACAGCGGGAAGCGTTCGCGGAACATGCGGGAGGATGAGGGCCAATGCGGGACAAGGCTTGAATTCGTGGCAGAATTTTCAAAATGTTCAAAATTCTGGCACGACAAATTTGGTGGACGGTTTTCGTGAACAATTCCCATGCCCGAGTGGCACGCATGTTTACGATCAGCCAACGACGGTTTTACGAATAAATTGATCACAATTTGCGCATCAGCTACGCTTACTTCCCGCATCAGCTGAGCATACTTCCCGCTTCCGCATGGTCTACGCATGCGCAATACGTGATACGAGTATGTCGTGACAATGCGTGAATAATAGCGTGAACAATACGTAATTATGGCGTAAGGTATGGCGTTAGTATGTCGTAAACGTGACGGGACTTTGCATGTCGTGTTGTTACGCATTGCACGAACGATACACGGTCTTCGTGCAACTAAATGTCACGCACTGGCACGCCTCGATGCGGGGCAATGCGGGAACACAAATTCGTGCAAGTGTCAAAGGGGGATAAGACTCACCAAAGCACTTGACTTTGACCGCCAGCGACGATGCACATTTTTCAGATGATGCAGAGCAATCCTGTGAAAGGTATGCGTCTGTCAAGATATATCATAAAGGAGAAATAATTGCCTAACATTCTGTACACATTGATTTTACACTACGTACGTTAAGCAAAATGTGTACTGACTCTGTGTAATATGCCCCTACTCTGTTTTACAAATCGATTTGTTTTGTTCACATTAGGGTATGAAAATCCCGTGCCGCTCTAATGGGTAATTCTTTCACAAAAAGCCCTAAAAATGGGTCCCATTTTAAACAAATTCTCCCTAAACATGGGTCCGTTTTTTCAAAATGTCCAGAATTTACATCGCAAACATCCGAAAAATGGGTTTTACTTCGAGAAAAATCCCCCAAAACGACCCCTTAGATGAATTGGGGGTTTCGAGGCTCCAGCGGCACACCCCGTCAAAATCAAATCTGAATACCCCCTCCCCCGGGCAAAATACAAACAGTGCAATAATATCGAGTCCAATTGGTGTACATTCTATTGAATAAAAGTTAAATACAACCACTAATTTCGAAGGAATTGCGGCATGCACGAAATCTCTATTCTGTGGGGTAAAAAAAAAGAGGCATATTGAAGTACACACACACACACACGCACGCACACACACACGCAAAGACACACAAAGACAGTCGTATTAAAAAAACGTTCTGTAAAAAATGTTACCAAGAAAACCTTCTCCCCCAAAACACCAACTACTTGCAAGCCTAGTTACTCACTTTTCCCACAACTAGGGGCCCGAATACAGTCCGGGTCAGCTCCTTCTAAGGAACATCCTCCTTGCTTATAGGCCATTTCTTTAACGCCAGGGAAACCAAGTTCCCCACAGACAACCTCCGCTACCCGTTCAGCTGAATGTTCTGCACACACTCTCATCCATTCACCTCCTGACTCGGCTTGTAGTTCAAGGAAGCCCTCTGCTGGTGTATTGCCCCCCTCGAGGCGCCCCACTCGTGTTCCTTAGAATTATTTTAACGACACAGATGGCAATAAGTGTAAATTTGCAAAAAAGGGAGCAATTTTCGGGGATGTTTGCGGATTAAACAGGTTATACAATTTTAATGGGAAACTGCGACTCAAAAGAAAAGTAGGCAAATTTTGCGTTGGCCGAGTTCATCGATATAATTTATTTACTTTCCTTTAGGGGGGATGTTGAATTCTGGGAAAGGTCATGAAATTGTTCAATTTATATTTCAACCATTTGTAATTGCCCAAAGATTAATCAATTTGAAAATTTGACATTTTTTTTCGTTGGTGGGGGGGGGGGGGGTAAGGTCACTTTACGTTAGCCGTGGGCATAATTTTTTGTTTTGTTTTAATAAAAAAACAAAAACAAACAAACAAACAAACAAAGGGGGGGTTTTAGTTTTTTTTAGGGGGGTTTACACACATAAAAATACCAAAGGGGGGGTTTGAACCCCCAACCCCCCCCCCCCCCCCCCCCCCCTGCGTATGCCCCTGTATGTAACTATGTATGAAAGTAAGTGCACTTTCGTACCCATGAGGGTAAAAATGCATGTTTCCCCGATGGAACACTCGAGGTAACCAAAGCATTTAGAATATTGAAAAAAGCAACTAATAAAGATAGACATTGGAATTTAATCTTTGTTGAAGTAAAATGTTTCCAGAAACAAAAATTATTCCTATTTTCATTAGCTGTTTTACTCAATATTTTTTTCATATATATTCAAAATTTGTGCCCGCTTATCTTTTAACACATCTTCCGTTGAGCGTTCGTGAAAGTGTATTGCTAGTCCTTTTATGCTTACAAGATGTAGCTAGTTATTCGATAAGTATTGTTCTAGAATCCATACCTGACAATTCGAAGCATGAGGCAGAAATGTTGAATCCATACCCTGTGGGGTTTCCATTTGATGTAAATCTCAAAAGTAAGCTGTTTCTCTTGGACAAAAATGGAGGGATAGTGCTTTGCTCTCCATTGTAGCGCTGCCTTTTTCGATCGTTAACGATGTCTATGACCACGACGTCATCTGAAGACCCTAGACTGAAGTTAGTAAAGGTCAGAAGGATCATTCTTCCTTTGGGTGCTGTGAGAAACCAATCCATTAACTTAAATTGCGGGTATGTAGATGGATAATTTGGAGATGTAATCACGGCTACACTCGTGCAACGGACAGGTACTTGAACATCTAGAAATAAAGATAAAACAAATGTCTTTAGCTTAATCTGACGATGTTATTTTTAAGGGAAGGACAATGGTGGGATAATAATAATAATATTAAATTATATTTCTATAACGCATTATACAAGTCATTTTGCGCTTTACATTTAGATGCAACGAAACATAAACGTGTGTAAACCAAACTGCAAACAAATTAAGCTACAGTCCCAAATACGACCAAGAGAATATTCAACGAGTGGACAATTGCAGGCAAGTCCGGTAATTCAAACAGAGACTCCGAAAATAGCACTTCTAACCCTACCACCTGTAAATTTGTCAAAAACAAGGTACTACAGACACGCCCTCCATCGAGTACAGACTAAACACCAAGCCAGTCGAAGCAACAAAAAATGTAGAAACCTCCCAGGAAACCTCAAAGGTGACCGTTGTTAACTGTAGGAGCATCAAAGGCAAAGCCGCTATGATTACAACGTTCATCAACATCGAATTTTGATTGGTACCGAATCTTGGCTATAGAAAGACACCGTCACATCAAAAATTATTCCTGACCACCTCAAGTATTCAGGGAAGGATAGCAATACCCATGGAGGAGGTGTATTTATTGTCAAAAACAAAACCATCCCATATTTCTTGATTAGAAAGACCCAGGGATCATCGTATCAAGCGGAAACCTCCAGTACTTGCTTTCCAGGTTATTAATGACAACCACCTTACGCAAACTGAGACTTCAAAAACCAGAAGAGACCTAAGTGGAACACAAAATACACTAGACCTGCTCTTAACTACGCACCCATCAATTTGACCAACGTTAGACCTAGTGCAGGAATTAGTGATCACTGCATCATCTTAGCTGATATGTCCAACAAAGTAAGAGTTTCTTCGAAACCAACTCGTAATGTACCACTCTGGCGGAAAATTGACAGCGAAAAATTGAATAAAAGACTGCTGGCATGAAAGACAACTTCTTTACTGAAAAATCTGATGAGAATAGTGTGGAAGAAAATAGGTCATGCTTTAGAGATGCAATAAATAAATTTGTTGCTGATAATGTAAACCATAAGCACCTGAAAGGATGTTCAGCTACTCCTTGGTTTACCCAAAAGCTAAAACGACTCTGCAGCAAGAAGAAAAAACTGTACATTCGAGCCAAAATAAGAGGCAGGAAAGACGAGTGGAAGATGTTTGTCAGTGTAAGGGAACAAATTGACAAGACACTGCGCAAGTAAACCGTTCAGAACCAGTATGTTGAATCCATTGTTAACTTGTAACAACCAAAATATTTCTGGCGCTAAGTTAGATCTAGACGAAATCTAGGGAAAACATTGATCCTGCGTCAATGCCAACTCTGCCACCAAGTGAAGTTCCCAGCATGCCTGACTTTAACATCTCCACTGAAGGTATTGAGAAGCTTCTGTTAAACATCAACACACCCAAAGTTCAGACCAAACACTAAACCAAATATTGCCATCTTTGCAAGAAAGGCGCAAAGAACATCGTCACTGCTGTCTCCACAAAAAGACCAACAGACAGCTGGACATAGATTATCAAGACTATACTCAACCTAAACCGACAAGAGCTAAAAGAGGACCTAACAGCCAATTTCAACAAACTCACTGAAGAACAGAGACATTTGCGAACTCCTTCTTTATGAGAACAGTGCGTGATTGCACCAAGTTTAAACTGGAGACTGTTACCCACACGTATCGACCCTGTCAAATAAAAAAAAAAATCTATCTACAAATTAGTCCGTCCTATCCGCACCTCCAGCTAAAACTCAGACGATTTTTTTGGAGGACCAACCGAGGTAATCGGAAACGTGTTATCACCATAATTTATGATGGTAACATATTTTCAAAGTAAATGAATAATAAATAAATTTTCTTTTAATTTCATCGTCCTATCTCCTATCGGCAAATCAGAAAAGGGTTTGTCCTACATCTCAGGTTAAAAGTGTCCCATCGATGTTTCCAGGTTTGAATATCTATTTCATTTCAGTTCCGAAGAAAAACAACATGGGAAAAAGGCTTACAAAATTATCCCCCAGGTAATCACACGTATGAATATCAAGAAAGATACATTAAACATACATTTACATTTATTGATAAAGCGCTGCTTTAATTTTCACATAACCTTTTTAGACTGTTTACAAATTTCAATTTTAAAAGTTTACTTGCACAGGTTGCCCGGGTCAGGAAAACCATGAAAATAAAAACATGACGATATTTCAGAACGATTTTCATTAACATCGAAATTTGGAGAATGAGTGCCTTGAGACCCTTCTGGAGGACATGATTGATTCCTCGTCTTTCCTCAAAGGGGTGATGGGTCGAGTCACTGAAACTATGAGAGTAGAGCTCGTCTGGTGTCTGCAGATTCTCAGAATTGAAAGTCTTGGGTCTCTTTGAATCTTCGTTCTGCAAAGTCTTTGATCTGTGCAGACATTTCGTCATGTAGCAGTGGGAATTGTCTGAGTTCGGCTGACCCGTAGAGTTTAAAGTCTTTGATCTGTGCAGAGCTTCGGACTGGTAGGAGTGTGATTTCTCAGATGTATGACCCGCAGAGTGTACAATCTCCGATTTCTGCAGACCTTCGATGTGGAAATCCCTGTCCTTTGTGATGTAGAAGAGGATTTCCATGGTTTCCAACTTATAGTAATCTGGTGTATACACTGAAATTAACAATATTTGTTCAAAGATAAATGCTAATATGAAAAAAAGGGGAAAAAGGTTTCTAAAAATGGTAGTTGGACCGCCAATGCGCAATATAGTATTGTGTTTTTAAAAGATATTGAGATGACCAAACACAACTTCCTTATACATCGGTTGTGTGCGTTTATGTGTATGCGTATATGTGGTTCCCTACTTCAGAACCACACACACACACGCACACTTACACACAAACAATACTGGTTAATCACCTAAATCAGGTTTCATGAAACCAGCTAATTATGATGCGATACACATAATATTATCATGGACACTGACTATGTGGCTTTAAGCTACCAGTGTAAAATGTATCCAAAAACAGTAGGTTCCTGTTTCATTTCAAAAATTTGAACTTACTTTGTAAACTATGTTCTTTATTGTGCAAACAATTGTTATCTTAAATGAAATAAAATCGATCAATCAATCAATTTGCACACGATGGTGGAATATATATAATTATGTATTATCATAATGAATTCCCGTTCATACAAACTCATTCTGCTTTTGTTTACTTTTAGTCTTTATAATCCTTTTAAAATGCTACTGTTCTGTCCATTTGGGGCCATATAATATAGACTCATATCGAAATTCAAGTTGCATTTAATTCGGAAAGATGGATACAGAAACATGATACATCATCTTTATCTTATTTATGTTCATTTATCGTTTGTATTGTTTATTTGAATTGTACTTAACGTATTTACATGCACTATGCATCATAAAACATACATAAAACCTTTCAAATTCAATAAAATCATGCATGACAATATCATATTTGGTTTCATATGAAATCATATGAGACAGAACGAAATAAAATTAGTCATGGATAACAAGAATCTGGCAGGGCATAAAATCATTTCTCTTTTTAACGGATGTACTCACCATGGTTTTATATTGTTTAAACTATATCAAAAGAGTTCTTTGAGCCATACACGTGTGGATATCCAGATTGGAATGTTTCATATTGAAAGAAATGATGAAATACTTTTATGACGCGGTTATAGCTTTTGGTTACTCCGTTTACCCGCTGAACTTTCAATGTATTTCATGATGACAGTGAAAGACAAAACGATGGATTGAATAGTTAAAAGGAATTGCATATTTGTAAATATATGAAGTTAGTCATTTCGATCCAGAGTATTAACTTTATTTGTCTTAGAATCCTGACGAAGATCATGAAAGTCTGGCAAATAAAAAGAAGAACCAAAAGCAACGACATTGTCATATCTTGTCATTTCTTTAAATGTCATTCATATTTTATTGCGTGTAAGAAATTACCATTAAACAATCGAATTTATGTTAAATACTGCTCATTTTTACACTGGTATTGTTTGAAATATTGTTATTTAATTATTTAGAAGGAGGTGCCAAACATATATCTATGCCGATTTAAAGGGAGACTGTTACTGCTAGTTTCCTCTGTCGAGATAAGTGCGTGGCAGGAAGTCGAAATCAAGCCAATCATCAGAAATTGTACGTGTGCATGCTCAACCAACTTCATGTTTAATTCTCTCTCAATTAAGTCGTTCTTCAACGAAGTTCCTCTACAACATCAAACATCGGCCTCGTCACGCACCTTAATTTCATTAAAGAACATACTTCGGAGTTTAACGACAAAGTATATACAACCCTACATGTACAGGAATGTCTAGGTTTAAACACTACGTACACAACCAATACATCTCTTTGTTTATCAAATACAGCCGTTAATAGGAATATAATGTACAAAACATACTACAAAACAACATTGAAACAACTGAACAGTGACAACATTTTATACTGAAGAGTATCGGCTTCTCACCAAGGCTCATTATACATGCAGAAATTGTGTGTCAAACCTGGTTTAACAATTTTCCTGTATTTACACTAATAATGCAATAACATGCACATTTGCTAGAAGATATTGTTATTATCATTTTTTATTATTATTACTGAAACCGCGCTTTTCCCATACTGACTCCCTGACAGCTCTAGAGAAAAGCAACATAAGAACGTATTCGTTTCATGCTTGATAGCAATGTCTTCAGTATATTCTTGAGGGTTTGATGACATCTCTGTAGTACCTTGAGTGAGAATCAGGGTGATACGCGCCAGAAGTCACGTGCTTAACTCACTAACAGTGCAAACACCTATCCGAACACCCTAAATTGACATCAAGTTTGATCCCTGATCAGATTGTACAGTCTTCGGTAGTCATACAGTTGTGAACAAATTCACTAATGCCTTTGTCACATTTTTTTTTGTGTGTGTATTAAATAAAAGATAGAAATAATTTTTCGCACGGGAGAAATTTCAAGAAAATTGCTTAAAAGGTCACTTACCCTTAATGACGGCCTATAGCGATGAAATCTCATAAGTTTATCAACACGATCAAGGAAATGATCTATGTGTGAGTGAACATGCAACCTCCAGATGTGATTCGTCTTGCTTTCATCTCTCCGCCTACTGTACATATTTGTAAACTTGCATGTATATATATACATGTATATACAACTAATTGATTCACTGTAATGACTATGAATATCATATCGAAAGCAAAACCAGATTTCCATGCTTGAGTCGTATAATAGCGAGTGGAGTGGGAATATTACAATGTTATTTTAAAGAGGAAGAGGATGATGAGAGATAATCGTAATAGAAATTTTCCCTAACTTTATATACTTAGGGTAGGTGTAGGGAATTGGAGACTGTAGGGAATTGGAGACCACCAAGCTTGAACCCATCACTGTCTGTCCGTGTTGACTCCAATATTGCTATAGCGCCATGTGTGGCCTTTAACATCGAAGACTACAATGCGCTCTTTCTCCGAGAAAATTGGCCAAATTGACCAAGGTAACCAATTTTGATCCTAAAATTTGGCTCTGATATAGAAACTCAATTTTCACTGAATGTTGTGGCATATGCAGATATTTAGGGGTGGCTCTTAAAAAGTAGTTTTAAAATGAAGTTTATGAAGTGTGCGAACCATCACAGAAAACTTAGGGCCATTGTATGTCGTGAACGGGTGTTGCACAGCACATTATGAATGGTGTCTGATCAGAAATGTGTGTAGGCAATGAGGGACACCAGGTCCAAGATTTATTATTATTGTCATTATTATTATTCATTTATTGGTATATAATGATCGAAAAGCAGCACAAGGCTAAAAGGGTCAATTTACAAAGGTACAGTGATGTAAATGATATACATGTACAATAGTATTACGAAACATGGTAAATACATCTGTAACATAATGACATTACAGCAGAATTATATTGCGTTCGTTTGTGTACATTAAGTGAAAGGATGTACTAGCAGAAGATATACAAGAGCAGGAGAAGGTATATGGCTCATGAAAGTGAGTGATAAAGCGAATAGAGTAGAGAGAGAGAGAGAGGATGGGAGAAAGGGGGAGGTACAAAGAGAGAAAGGAAGAGAGAGATAGAGAGATAGAGAGCAGGGAATGGAATGATCATAATTAAAAATAAACATATTATTCCTCATTACATGTAATACATTAATGAAAATTAAGAGAGTCAGATTTCGGCGATACAACAATAATCACCATACAAGTACATGCTAAAAGAGAAAAAAGGGAAGGTTAAAAGAAAAAGGGAGAGAAGTTTGAATGGGGAGAGAGTTGGGGGGTCTCGTTTGTTGTGAATGTTGATTATGCCGAGGACAGTCAATGACCCGATGCTGGTTGGTTAATTGTCCATGTACAGAAATATTTTGGGCCACATTGTTTTAAAATCGTTTAAAAATTACAGTGAGTTCATTGGCTGCATATATCTCTTTCAAAAAGTGTTTGAACTAACCATAACAATCCCATTTTCATTCAAATTGTATTTAAAATGTCTTGATTTGTAACTGTCCCTTATTACCTTTACATGTAGGTAATGAGAGACCTTTGGTGATGTAGTCATTAATCATTGTTATTTTATTAATCAATTACATCATGACCACAATTTTGTTACCAAAATAAAGAGAAGAAGTTACTGAAGAGAATACAAAATGTTCTATATGTGTTATATTTTTCATGTTTATGTAAATTAAGCAAATGTGCTTAAGGGTCTCCGATTCCCTACACCTACCCTATTTTGAAAAATGTGCATGAGTCTATTTTGAACAAACCAAACAAATTAAACTGACAAAAGCGTGACTTAAAAACTCACAAGTTATAAGATTCTTTGAAAACATGAAGTGGACTGATAAATCTAACATCCAGACATATTGCTAGACCAGGCAGGGAGGTGATAGAGAAGGGGTGTAAACTCTTGTATTTTATTGAAAGACATGTATGAGTTCTAAAGCGTAACAATGGGATGCGTAACATTCCACTTGGCTTCCACTTCGGGGAATTTCGGAGTGCAGGTGCCAGTTTCACGTTTATTAAATTACCGGCAAAATATCAGTGTAAATAATAAATGTGCCAGAGTTGGTAAAAGAATTATAATATCCTGACAAAAACTCAGTATTTTAGGATAATCCGATTATTTTCGCATGTTTTAATGTCCCGATATTTAATCCATGATTTACAATCTTCGATAACTTTAAGTTTGTAAATGCGTGCTTCGCGTGCTTTTTGGATTTTTGCAGTTGGAAACAAGTATGAAATAGTTTGTGTACGCTTGTTCAACTTATTACACATTCAACAATTGATGAGGAATCATTGAAAGGGACATCGAACATTTGCTGAGATACCACTTTCTGATGTAGGAATTCTTAATCCTGATATTTCATGCGCTCTTTTATCTCACCACCTGGTCAACAGTTGCAGATTAGCGCGTAACTTTTTGCCGGCTTGGAGCATTATGGTCAAAGGAGAGCGGCTTAATTCCACTCCTTCTCTCAGCGTGTCCACACACCGTAAAACAATTTATCCCGAAACTCTATAACGAAACGTCGTATAAAGAATCATCGTGCAAATTTCTATCGCGAAACGGTATAGCTAATCACGCCTAATCACGGAAAATGTT